TGTAAAATTATTGATACATTAAATTTTATCAACTTGCAAAATAAAAAATGCCTATAAATTAAATAATAATATAAATTCTAAATTCTAATATGAATCATCAAACTCGCCTAACAAAGAATTACCTTTATACTCAAATAGTTATTTACCATTTGTTTCACTTTGCAATGCCTACATCAAAAAAAGAAGAAGTAATTACCAAATTCACACACACAAAAATGAAATAAAAATAAAGTAAAGAAGAGTGAGAGAGGCAAAGGGATTAAGGAGAGGAGAGGGAGTTACAGAAAAAGAAATGGGTTAAGGGGAAAGGAAATGGGATGTGTGTGTGTGTGTGTGTTTTAGTAGGAATGGGTGGGAAGGAGGGGTAGTTATTTCATTTTGATTGGATTTGAAAGGTTTTTAGGGGAAAATTAATTATATTTTTAAGCTTTTTAAATATTTTGGAGGGAGAGGTATTAAGTTTTGGTTGAGTTGGGTCAAAATAAAAGATAAAAAGATTTTTTTTATTAATAATAATAATAATAATAATATATATATATATATATATATATATAATTATAAAATTTAAAATTTTATGTTATGATAACCAAAATCACTAAATAATACAAAGTAAAGTATAACCATATTAGATAAAATGTTGAAGTGAAATTACATCTACAAAGTAAAAAAAAAATATCCAAAAATATTATAATAGAAAAAAGAAATAGAGGATCATAAAATTACAATCAAGTTAAAATGAAGAAGGAAAAGGGTGTGAATATATGATGAAATTAACTTTCAATATCAAATGTATTGTATTATATAATTTGAAAAAAGATTAAAATAAAATAAATAAGTAACGAATTTAACAAATTTTTAGGGGTTGATAATCGCCACAAATAATATTAAATTGTGGTGATTTTCTAACCTCCTTAATAAAACCACCACAAAAAGTTTTATATTGTGGGGGTCAAAAGAAAATGTCACAAAATGAATTATACGTGGGATTTCTAAAAACTCCCACAAGTTAACATGCTACAAATTAAGCATTTTTTTGTAGTGTCAGGCTCTATGGTTAAGAAAGATTCTACGTGATCTGGAGCAAAATGACATTAAAGCTACTGTCATTAAGGTTGACAACAAGTCAACAATATCTATGGCCAAAAATCCAGTGCAACATGGTCGTAGCAAGCATATAAATGTGAAGTTTCACGCTATCAGGGAAGCAGAGACGGATGGCGAAGTTCAACTTGTTCATTGCAGCTCAGATCAGCAGATTGCAGACATCATGACCAAGGCTCTTCCTAAGGGAAAATTTGAAGTTCTAATGCCTAAGTTGGGAGTATCCAAGAAAAATCTCAAGGAGGAGTGTTAGAAAATGAGATATTTCTAGATGTTTTTTGTTTAATTGTTATTTTCTTAAATATTATGTTAAGTATGTAAAGGAAAGGTAGTCCTTGTTTTATGGAATATGTTTTGTAAGAAAGTCAATAGTGGTTGGATATGTATGGTCTTCTACTAACTTTGGAAAAGCTTATGTAGATATATGTGTGTATGCCTTTTGAAAACTGAATATGAATGAAAATTACCTCTGTTGAACCTTATCTTTTTGTCTAAAGTTTCAAATCCTAACACTAATGTCATCGGGGTATCTGTGATAAGTTTGTAATGACCTGGTTGATCTTTTTTTTAAAAATATTTTCATGATATTACTATTCTACCTTTCCGATCTTGGCCCCGAGTCTCATATATTTGAGTTTTGAAAGTTGGTTACAAACTTCGAGAAAAAAATTGAGAATTTGAATAAGTTTGTAATTTTGAAAGGCTAAGTTGCTTAAAAGGTGTTTTCGGAGTCTTTTGGAGTTTTGAATGTTGAAATGGAATTCCATTGATTCTATTAGTTCTGGAATGTGGAAATTGGTTTATGAGAGTTATCGGTTTCAGATTCATAGTTGTTTTGAGGATTTGAGGCCATAAGTTGAAAATTGTTGAGATTTTTGTCTTTGGGTTGACTTTGGTCAACATTCGGATCGGATGCTCGGATTGGAATTTCAAGAGTTCCATTGGACTCGAGGGATGATTTTAGACCTAGGTGAGATCTTGGTTGAATTTTTAGAGGTCTCGAGCTTTATTTGGCCTTTTTAGGCGTTATGTTCATTTCTTGTGACTTTCACGAGTTTCAGGTCAAAGAGACCTCAGTTTCGTGTTTTGATAGTTCTATTGTGTCTCGAACATTGATTTTATCCAATTTGCATATATGGTTTGTGTGTGCGGGGTTCTGAACGAATCCTGAGGTCCTTTTATGATTTTTGAGTTGACTAATTTTTCTGTATTGAATTGTTGAAGCCAACCCTCTGCGATTGTGAAGGGGTGACCGCGTTCGTGAGAGATCAAAGCTTTGACCTCCACATTCGCAGAGTGTAGGGCGCATCCGCAGGCTCATTTATGAGTTGTCCGGTCATGTTCGCGGACAGAGGTCTGCGTTACGGAGGACCTCTGATAGTGTTTTGATCTAAATTCAGGGTTTCTATTCCATTTTCCATTGTTTGAGCTTTGAGAACTTTGTGGAGGCGATTTCAAGTGGGATTTTCAAGATAAAATAGTTGAGTAATGTTTCTTGACTTTAAATTTTCAATTACCCATTATTAATATTGAATTTATGTGTTCAAATCAAGATTTTGGATTGATAAATTGAGGGTTTTCAAGAATTTGAGTTGTTGAAGTAAAATTGGGTTTGTGAAATGATTTCAAATCCTTTTTCAAAATAATTTTCACCAATGAGTTTCCAATGTCTTGAGTAATGTTTTCAAGTAAAGATTTTCGGATTTAAACCTCGATTTCGGAATTGAATTTTTGAGTTGATTGACCCTTTTGTCTAAATTATTTGAGTTTGGTAGTGATAATTCCGTAATCTTATTGTGATTATTTGATTAAACTAGATTGTGGGGCATTTGATATCGTTCGAAAGGAGAAGGCTCAAGTTTTCAATTGATTAATTGATTAAATTAAGGCAAGTGGTCTCTTAAACTTTGTAACCTAGTAGAATCTTTATTTTCCTTTCTTTGTATGTTGGGGAATAATGGGATTGAGGAAGGGTTCATTGTTCCACTTGTTTAATCTTAATGAGTAATAAGGGGATTAAAGAAAAGGCGAATTGTTGATCATAATGCTTGTGAATTGCCTTGTTGTGACCCCTATTTGACTGATTGATGAAGTGCTTTGATGGCACAAATGTGGACTTGAATTGTCTGAATTGTTGTCTTTTTCTTATGGTGTGACATTGCTTAATTATATTGATTGTTTAACACCGTGATGAGACATGTGATATAAAGCCGAAGGGAAATGACTTCGGCTAGTGATTTGACATAAAAACATGTGATTTAATGTCTTTTGATACTTGTGGTTGATCTACTTGCTACTTGTGATTGATCTACTTGCTACTTGTGAATTCTCTACTTGTTACTTGTGAGTGATCTACTTGTTACTTGTGCATTGGCACACTGATGTGTGTTGGTTATTGAAACTGTGACTATTAAACTATGTGGTTAAGCCATGTGAATTGTGTATTGTGAAACTGTTAATTTGAGCTAATTTCTATGCAGGTTGTAGTTTGAGGAGGTTCGGTTAGGATGAAAGAGGTATTCAATTTCTAACTAGGTTGCTTTGTTTATTAGGTTGCTTATTGGGTACAGTGTTGTTGGTACTCACCCTTTGCTTATACACTTGTGTAGGTTCCGAGCCCGGCCGGACCCTTGTGATCTTCTTCTTCCTCGGATTTCGAGGCTTGTCAATGATTTCGAGAGGTAGCTACTTGTCATCCCGGCAGTTTCCCTTGTAAATTTACTTTATGCTTTGTTCTATTTGAGAAACAAAGATTTTGAGACTTGTACTTATCTTTCGAATTCTATATTTACATTAGTGGTTTGTAAATGTGACAACCAAGTTTGGATGTTAATAGAATGAATAAATTTTCCGTTTTCATCTTGTTATTTCTTAATCTTTCCATATTTTCTTTCATTTCGTTGGAATGAGGCTGACTTGTCTTGATGGGAATGCATAAGTATCATCACATCTATTTTTGGATCGTGACAAAGTGATGTGTCAACATAATCAGAACTATTCCATTACCGGTAGATCGATGACACCTTTTTCACGGGACCTCCACTTTTTAGTTCCAATTCTTTATTTGACTGGTGCGTGTTTGCAGTGCGCCCAATCTGACACCAATCAGCTTCGAACCTAGCGCCAAACTTCAAACAAATGATGATACTTGAGAGCATATTGAAACTGATCTTTTGTAGAGGGCTAAGTAGTCGTTTTATACTAGTATCATTAGTTTTTATCCTCTTAAGTAAGCCCTAGCATAAAAAAGTGGGCATCTCATCATCACTTATAAAAATAGAACTCCATCATCAAGCTTTGAGAATACAAGCAATTCACGATTTTCTTACGTCTTATTTTTTCTCATTTGTCATCTTTTTCACCCATTGTTAAGATAATTTATGTTCTTTCATTCTTACTTGCTCAAATGATTTAGCCAAAAAATAAAAGAGTGTGATCGACAATAATAGACTTGCCTTTTATTTAGTGAAAAACATTTATTTCAATTTTTAAAAAATAGACTTGCCTTTAATTCCATTTTCACAAATTTAAATATTTTGAAATGATATTGATTTCTCCATTAAATTGATGTGAAATAAATAAAAGAGGATTTACGCAAAGAGTATCCTCAATGCAAGGGACCAGAGGATGTAGGCGAAGAGTATCCTCAAGTCATTACTCTTTGCAGGCCTCCACAATTTATATATTCAACACTATAATTTGGTAGGTTCCTATTTATTTTCCTTACTTTCAAATATTTGAATGGAAGGAAAGACTAAGGCCTCATTTGTTTCTATTAGAATTAAGACGTCTGAATTTCAATAAGTATTTGAATATTAAGATGTGCATTAAGATCTAGATGTATATATTTGAATACATATCTGAATATTAAGATGTGATCTCAAGATCTAAACACTAAATGATTAAGACTGTTTGTTTTATAGATGGCTAATTGTGTGAACAAATACTTAAATTCTAGTAGAACAGAATTATGCTACATTATGGAGTTTGTATACTCAACTATATAAAGCTTATCGTTATCCCGTATGACTTCCACAGAGTCAATGTCCGATCCTTCTTCATTTGTCACCACTGCATCTTTTGCTTCAAAACCAAACTTCTGGCCTATAAAATAGAAAATATTTAAATTCGGAAGAACTAAAAATGGAGAAGAATTTGCTTGAAAAGGTACCTGCAATGCCTTTGAGTTTTGCAAGTGAATCGGGAAGCTTTATTAACTTTCCTGGTTCATTGCACTGAGTGCTTCTCCTGAACTCAGGATGACCTCTGTATATGCTAACTCTAAAAGCACATTGATCTGTATGGCTTTCAAAGTCGTATTTTTGTTCCTGTTCATGCTCCTTATGATCAACTTTATCCATATCGGATATTATTATCCTGTGCCCGACATCTTGTTTTTGCAGCATTTCACTTAGGTTCATTGATGAAAGCTTGTCCTTCAATGTTTCATCAATCTCATCTCCGTTTAATAATAAAAGCTTTACCATATCTAAATGATTTTCTTCTATTGCAACATGGATAGCAGTTGATCTATGTCGATCTTTTGAGTTAACAAGTAATCCATGTTTGAGGAGTTCCTTCATAATTGTTAATTCATTCCTCCTAGCTGCTTTACATAGGAGGTCACCAGAAACATATGGATCAGAAATACATGCCCAATGGTACAGGATTTCAAATATGGGATGTTGTTTTGCTGCTATAGCTTCCCATAATGCGGTGTCACCATTTGCATCTGTCATTTATGGAATAATCAAGATATCATATACCACTTGGCTCTCAAAATTTTTACAGTGACATTTATTGAGGTTGTCCTACCTTGTAAGTGTATGTTGCATCCATGTCTGAGAAGCACCATTACACATTCTTCATGCCCTTTTGATGCTGATATATGCTGATGCAATGCATAGAGAGAAAAGATGTTGACAAACTCGGATACAACAAGTATATTGGTAACGTAAGAAGTATACAACAAGGGACATACCAGTGGAGTTTTCCCTTTGGAATCACAAATATTAGGGTCTAATCTTGCCTTGAGAAGCTCATCAAGAAAAGCAGCATTGCCTGTACTGGCAACAGTCAACAAATTGATGGACATGTTTGGATCGCTATCTTCGTCCCCAACATCAAGGAACAAGTCTGTAAGTCTTAGATCCTTGAGCTTCTTATGATGCTGTAATCAACACAGTATATAGAAAATATTAATACCCGACTCTGAATTGAGACACTTGGAAGATCACTAAGTAGCTACGAATGAACCTGAAGAAAGTTGTTCATCATGGTGACATTATCCTCTTGTCTGCTCTTCATTGCTTCAATCAAAGAACTTGTTCTTATCTTTAAGAGTTGTGAAAGTGTCCTTGTCCGATACGTGTAGCTCTGAGGCCTACAACAAAAGGCCCCAACTTCTCCAAACATGTCTCCACATCTCAGAGTCCAAACAATCTGCTCATTCTCCATCTCACTATCAATCATTTCCACCTCCCCTGAAACTATGATGTAAACCTCATCTGGAGATTCATTCTGCATTATGACATCCTCCCTTGGGGGTATATACTCAGCCTTCATATCTGCAACCTGAGCGATCATTATGATTAGACAAACAACATGCATGAAGATTTATGAACGAGTCGATTTTTTTAGTTCATAGAATAAAAATGTCATCTTACAAGGTGCAAGCGAATTTCCCTGGAGATACCCTTGAAAAGATAGACCTTTTCAACAGTTGGCAAAAACAAATGATGTCGGATACTCTTGCAGATTGTCTTGGGAAGTTGTTCAATTAGTTGTTGTTGGTTTAAGCTCTCTGCCTTGAATCTTAAGCACATGTAAGCCAGTATTTGCTCCTTCAGTCTTGGAGGCAAGTGATTACGACTCACAAAGTTTGAAGCTGATTGTATGCTATTTCTCTGCAAAAGAATTGAACGCCATTTTATCTCGTATACACTTGCACTTATTTTTGCTCCTGATGCCTATACATTTCAATAAGAAAGTAGCTTACAAATTCCATGGTGCGACTGGTTCCTTCAACAACTAAATTGGTCATGTTGCCAATAATGTAAGCGGTAAGGCCAAGATTGAAGAGCATGTAGAAAATGATGAAGATCATTTCGACAGTGTTAACAGCATGGAGGTCACCATAGCCAACAGTTGTCATGGTGGTGATAGACCAATAAATAGCTGAAATGTACCTAATCCAAAGGCTTGTCTCTCTGAACTTGGGATTCACAGATCCTAACCAAGTATTTCCTTGGTGGGGATATCTGTCAGCCAACAAGTAGTAGAGGCATCCAGCACAGTGCACTGAAAATAGTGTTACCTGTTTCATGCCACACACTCACTCATTCATAAATCTTCAACTAGGAAAAAGATCAAAATAATTCTTTTATGCTAACTTACAAACAAAAGCCTAGCACATCTGATCCAAAAATAGCTGAATCTCATATCCTTTTCAAGTCTGCCAATCAACATATAGAACAAGTCTAATTAGTAGAATAAAATATGTAAGTTTTATTTGTTCATGTAAAGATGGGTCTTGAGCTGTAACTCAACTCCAAAAGTTAGCTCATATAGGAAGGATTGTCCAAGTTCATATAATGAGACCAAATTCCCATTTCTTTTCTGATGTGGGAATTTTTAACCTTGTTAACTAGACACGATAATATGGGAGGCCAACATCGGTGAACAAAGAATTGGAATGGATGTGACTATGATACCATTTAAAAATGAAGTTTGAACCTAAATTAGGAGAGGATTGTCAAGTCCATATAAGGAAATCAAACTTTTATCCGCTTTCCGATGTAGGAATTCTTAACAAGTGAAAGAGAAATTACCGGGTGAAAAATTGCTTAACTTTGCGAAGACGCCAAAATCTGAGGATTCCTAAAACAGAGTAAGAGATGCCAACTTGATGTTTGCCAGTAAACAATATGGCAAGTAAGTCAAAAGGGATGGTAGAGGCCACATCCATCAGAAACCATGTTGATACGTATCTGTAAATATATCATTATTAACTCGTAACAAAACAAAACTAATTAGCCATACAAATACATTACTACTATATTATTTTAATGTAATCTATACATACTATAATTCTGAGTTACACATCTAAGTAACTGCTTAATTCATGATTAAATTAACTTGCTTTTGCATTTCTTAACCGACAAGTTCACATAGATAATACTCCCACGGTTCCCTTTTTTTCCCTTTTTAGTTGTCATATTGTGTTTTTCAAGAGTCAATTTGACAATTATTTTTATATTCATATAATAAAAAAAATACATTTTAAAGAGTTAATTAAAATTCATATCGTTTGACGATAAAAAAAATAAAATAGGGAGATACTCCCAACTTTAGGGATTGACTCAAATAGAATGGGTTGACCCATCAGCCATTTGAGTATAATATTTTACCTAAGCTAATTAAAATACTTTGACTCGTCACTGGATAAATATTAGTTTGGTCCAGCTCATACATTTTTGATGCTGCATAAAAGCAAAAGATATATTCCAAATCTCTTCTTTTTTTTCTTTTGAATTTGACTGTTATAAATGAATAATTTTTTTAAAATATTTTATCAGACTACTCCAAAGTTAACTACATGTGACGATTAGAACGTGAAAATTAAAGAATTTAATAGATTATATAACATGTTAAATTATACTGATAATATTTTGAACATTTTTAGAGTTTGGGAGAGAACTCTTTTTTCCTTTGGACTATTCCCACTCAATAATTAAGGGAATAAATGTACGGTTCAAAATCTAAATCTTGGAAAAAAAAAAGAGAGAAGATGTTGGTTCTTTGCACCTGATCCCTTGGTGGGGGAAGGACGAATATTTAAAGAGGATCAAATCTATTCGCCATGATTTATCGATAACATATTCATTCACGATAAAAAAAAGGAATCATTACTTCTTCAAATTAGAATAGTCACGTTCTTACGCAGCGTTATCAAATCTCTGTTTATCATAAATATATATATGTGGAATATAATTATAATATACTCCCTATGGTCCATATAAATATGCTCTCTATAGTCCATATTTATATAAATATGTGGAATATAATTATAATTTTTCATTTAATGAATGCCAGTTCAAGCCATGTGGAAATATCTAAGATCATAAAAAATAAAAAAACATATAGAAGGAAATATAATCATAAAGTAAGTTTAGGAAAAGAAAAAAAACATATATATTACTCCCCCGCGTCTCATAAAGTAAGTTTAGGAAAAGAGAAAAAACATATATATTACTCCCCCGCGTCTCATTTCATATGACTTAGTTTAACTTGACACATAGTTTAAGAAAGAAAGAAAGATTTTTGAAATTTATGATCTAAAATAAGTTAAATATGTTTATGTGACTGTAAATTATTTCATTAAGGATAAAATAAATATATAAATGGATCATTCTTTTTAAACAGACAAAAAGAAAAAATAAGTCATATATAAATTGAGACGAAGAGAATACCTTGTAGCAATTTTTCTTCTATCACGAACAAGCAACTGAGAGGTTGAATCAATGTATGCGACGGAGAAGGTCAAGATGATATCAGCAGCAAAAAAGAGATTTACAATATTATCTGCGATGTAAAGCTTCTTGTTTGGATTTAAGTTCATGAATGCTATCTCAAATGGACATACCCATGCACAATATGCCACCAATAGCACCATTAGTGTCTCCCAACACCTACATATATACAAATCTCTCCTCAATTAAGTTACAATTTACATAATTAATATTTGTACTAGCTAGTTAATCAATTAATTAAATAATTTACCTTATAATTAATTAAAAGTGATGTGAATGACTTTTATACTATGGATGATACAACTTAATAAGCTTACATGAAACACACACATATAAGCACGAATTCATTTATTCCGTTTGGTTTTGCAATATCCAGATATATATACACATTAAAGTTGTTCATAAAAAGTTTATCTGGTGAAGCTCTCACTTGGTACACACAACAAGATCTCTATAAATGGTGTGACTGGAGTGATATGCCACACGACATTAAATCACACCAGATGGGTTTTACCTGACTAAGTTAAAAGAAGAAATTAACTAAGACATTTCGTTAGTATGATCTACGTTGGAGGTAGCTAGAGTACTCCAACTACCGATAAGTGAAAGTGAGATGTCTATTATCTTCATTGAATGCCAAGATAACAATCTTTACTATGAGAAAATGATAATAATGATGGGACAAAAGTTCATAGAAATCATTTCTTGCCACAACTTAAACCAAAAAAGACAAAGGGGAAACATATTATTCTTCCATTTAAAATTACCTGTATGTTGAAGTGATAGGTGAGATAGTGTTGCCTTTGTGCAGATCAGTCTGATTCTGGTTATAACCAGAGGAACCTAAAGGAGGAAGAATGAGCTTTGACAGGTTGTGAAAACTCATATTTCCTAAACCTGAATTACCACCTCTCTCATTATTATTATTATTATTATACATATCTTCTTTTGTTTGGATTTTCTCCCCATCTCCATCACTCATGTTTCTATTGTAGAAACCATATGATGAATATTTCACTTCCATATTCATCATATTAATTATGTAATGGAAGAAGAGAAAAAGAATTATACATTATACTAGAGAGAAAAAAGAATTGGATGGTGGTCCTTATATGAGTGGCCCTTGAGAGGTTGTGTATGAAATTAATTTATCTTATAGAAAAATAGCATCTTAATTTTTTTTAGAACAACTTTCACATATAACAAACATAAAAATTATATTTGTATGTTATAGTTATAGTTTGCATAATTGCGCTCCATAGCAAATTTTATGTTTGTTATGGAGCTTTTGATTTGTATAATTCGCTACAAACATCCAATTTTATACAAATTATTCAGTTTTGTATAAATTCATTTATACATTGTAATTTGTATAATAAGATATGTATTTGTATAATTATAAGTGTATAGGACGAAATATATGTATTTGTATATACACTTTTCTCTCGCTTTATACAAACATAAATGCATTTTATACATTTTATACCGAAATGTATAAAATGGTTAATTGTATACCGAAAATGGCTAATTGTATATCGAATCAGATGGAAAAAAAAAAGGATATTTGCTGCGAATTACAATTAAAATAACCTATAACTATAACATTTAATTTGAATTAATAATTTGCTATTTCATACAATTTTCTCTTTGTTTATTCTCATCAGATCTCCAATATAATGCAGACATAGCTATAGGGATATGATATCATGTCATATTTATTGGTTTGGCCCCTTGTGTAAATCAGTGCATGGAGGGCCCTATGCACAGCTTTACCCACTTAAATATTACGGCAGTTATATAACGACGGTTGCAATGAACCGCTACAAATATAATATAATACAAGATTTTTTATATGTAAGATTAAATATTTTAATAGCGACAATTTGTACTTAAGTTATGATGCTTTCAATGAACTGCTACAAATATAATATAATACAAGATTTTTTATACGTAAGATTAAATATTTTAATAGCGGCGATTTGTACTTAAGTTATGAGGCTTTCAACTGCCACTATTTTATTTTTTTTTAAAGAATTTTTGGTCCAGTGGACCTTTTATTCATTCATAATCCTAAATAATCCACAAAACCAAATAGGAAACAAATTGAGACCAACCCAAATACTTGGTCGGTCCAAAATCTACAGTTTGGGGTTTTTTAGAAACCATCTACATCTTTGTCTCAGTTGCCTCTGGTTGGTGCCTCTATGTCCTTCTCTGCTGAGCTTGCAGCTATGGTAAGCATTTATCCTGCTCTCCATTGTTCTCCATTACTGCTTTTCTAGTTGTTGATGTCAATCCCGCTTCCATGAAGATCTCTTGAGTCAGGCGCCTCGATGTCGGCAATGCAATTCTCAAATCCAAAACACCGGCGATCCTAAAGGTCACAACAGCACGGAGGTTAGTCGAATTTCTATAGTACGCAACTAAAACTTGTACTATTTCTCCATTTCCGTCCATGTTCTTGCTACAACTATTATGCAAAAGCTTTTACTTTATGTCTAATCTTTGAATGAATGGCCTCTGTTACTCCTCTGTATACTCTGTTGTTTGATTGTTGATTGATCTAGTTCGGATTCTCAATGAAGGAACTTGAGCCTTGTCCATATTCAAAATGCATCTTCCTTTCGTAGGTAGACTAATGAATGTGTCGAACTGAACCACTCCTACTGCTCCTATCACTACGTTAGCTACGAAATTCACTAAATTGTTCCCCTCCCTCAGCGTATGTTGAATCCTTGCTTTGGTGATCTTTATTAATTCTCTACATTCCTCCACCTGTTCAACTCTTTCCCAGGGAACTTTCCAAGAGTTCCTTAGACAGTTAACAATACTGAGTGAGTTTGATTCCAGCCAAAACCCCTCTAATCCAATCCTTTTACAGTATCTCAATGCCTCCAATATTGCCATGATTTCAGCTTCCATGTTGGTTCTTAAACCAATATCTTCTCCCTGTGCATATACAAGATTACCAAATTCATCCCTAATACAAAATCCATAAGCACTTTGTCCAGGATTCCCTCTGCAAGCACCATCGGTATTCACTTTAAATTTATTCCTTGGTGGTGGAACCCATCTTATGCTCTTGGCATGAAGCCTAGGTTTGTAATCACTAAGACATTTGACTATATTATTCCATTCTGTAGGGATCTTTTGTATCTAAGGGTATTTCACCTTAATTAAAAGATGTATCTGAACTTTAATATGCTCTTTCATCTGATTATAACTGCATTTTCCTCCATGTTTGATTGTGTTCCTTCTCCTCCACAAAGCCCACATTATCATTGCTGGAACTGCTTTCTGAATTGCCATTAGTTTTATGTTAGCATTTTTGATCCACCATGTTGTGATTACTTGTTGCAACTGCATGCCTTCTATGTTTATACCTGCACAATTAGCAAAATGCTTCCATAGCTTGTTGGCAATAGAAGCTGTTAGAAAAAGGTGGGTCATAGTCTCATATTTGCTTTTATGACAACACCAACATTTTGAGACTATCTGTATGTTCATCCTTTGCAAGTTATCATCTGTAGCTACTCTTCTTTTTCACACCCTCCACAAGAAAAAACATAATTTAAAAGGCATTTTGGGATCCCAAATAAATTCAAAGTCTCTTCTTTTCTCCTTTTTCTTCCTCAGACCCTCCCAGGCAGATTTCACACTGAATTCTCCATTTTTTTCCAACATCCACCAAGCTTTATCATTCCTCCCCTCTGTTAACTCTGGCTTAACAATATCTACTATACATTTTGTTATCTCTTTTGACAAATGATTTAGAAGCTTATGTTTATCCCAACTTCCATTAAGAATGAACTCTTTGACCTCTATTTCTTCTTCCTCAGCATTGTCCCCCTCTATATAGTATAAAGCCCCTTGCTTTGTCCAATTGTCATACCAGAAACTTGAGGAACCATCTTTGATTTGCCACCAAATATTATGTTCCACCTCTTCCCTAATTTGCACCATCATCCTCCAAATATGAGAACCCCCTAAGCTTTTGGCCATTATAGGATGGGCTTTCTTGCAGTATTTGTTCCACATAAATGTACTCCAAAGTGAGTTTGCAGATACCCTGAACTTCCACCATAGTTTTGTAAAAAGTGCATTGGATAGGTCATTCAGTGATCTGAAACCCAAACCACCCTCTTCTTTTGGACTGCATAAGTCCTCCTATGCTACCTAATGCTTACTCCTTGTACCTGCAATGTTACTCCAAAAAAACGTTGCAAATATCATGTGTAACTGTTTAATAATCCCTTTAGGTGGATTCATTGCAGTTAAGAGATATACAGGCATTGATTGGAGCACATGAGCTATCAAGATGTATCTTCCCCCAAATGAAAGTAATTTATTCTGCCACAATAATATTCTCTTTCTAACTTTCTTCAGCAGCTCTTCAAAATGATCTGTTCTTCTTCTCCCATAAAATATAGGACATCCCAAATAGGTGAAAGGAAAAGTTCCCTGACCTATTCCTGTCATTTTCCTAATTCTTGAGCAGTCTGCAATGGGCACTTTCTCATGAAGATATAAGAAACTTTTAGATAAATTAATCAGTTGACCAGAAACATATTCATAGTCTCTTAGCACCTTCATCATCTTCTTTATAGATCTGTGATGTCCAGAACAGAAAAAATGGTGTCATCAGCATATAACAAATGATTTATGTTTGGGCTCCACTTGGGCATACCATATCCTTTGTAATCAGGTTCCTCATGCAGTTTATTCAAACCCCTTGATAGAACTTCTGCAGCAATAATGAACAAAGTGGGAGACAATGGATCTCCTTGTTTCAATCCCCTGGAGGATTTGGAAAACCCTTGTTTTTGCCCATTAATCAGTATAGAATACCAATTATTAGTTAATAGCCTCCAGACCATATCAATTACTCTCTCCCCGAAACCAAATTTTCTCAACAGTTTTGTTAGAAACACCCAAGATACCCTATCATATGTTTTAGCCATATCCAACTTCACTACAATATTATGCAACTTGTTTCTTCTGTTTATGTCCCTAACAATTTCCTGAGCTAACAACACATTCTCAGAGATGCTTCTACCTTTAACAAACCCAGCCTAATTGTTTGAAATAATCTTGGGGAGCATTGGGACAATTCTTTCATGAAGCATTCTAGAGATTATTTTATTAGAAAAGGTACTTAGACTAATTGGCCTTAAATCTGAAAAGGTCACCACTTTTTCTTGTACCAAATTAGTGTGAGTAACATACCTTGGCAACTCTTGTCCAGCAAAGAATGCCTGCACCATTCTAGTGATATCATTGCCTATGATGTCCCAACATTTCTGAAAAAACGACCCAGAGAAGCCATCAGGTCCACTAGTGCTATCTCCATTTAAAGCATCCACCACTACCTTTACTTCATCTTCTGTTGGTGGTTTACTAATTTTGTCATTCTCCTCCTGTGTGATCAAAGAAGGAATATTCTCCAGCATGCTATAATCTCTGTCTCCCCTCTCCTCAGTGAATTGCTTCTTAAAAACTTTGACAGCTTCTTCCCCAATTCTCTGTGTACCATTAATGATATCCCCTTGATCAGTGTGTATCTCCTCTAAATTCATCTTCCTTCTTCTGCCTTTCACATAAGAGTGGAAAAATTTAGTATTTCTATCCCTCTCCTTGAACCAACTCAATCCTGATTTCTGCTTCCAATATTCTTCCTCAAGATTCAAGAATCTAATAAGCTTTGCCTCTGCCTTCTTCAATTCTGCCCTTGAATTTTCATCAGGCCTAACCTCCAGTTGAGCTTCTTTTGCCCTGAATAATATCCTCTAATGTAGCAATTTGCTGGAAAATATTCCCATATTCTTTTTTGCTCCATTCTGCCAGAGCAACCTTTATTTTTTTCATCTTTGTCTGTACTTCTGTAAATGGGGACCCTACAAAATCAATCTTCCAATTATCCTCTACAATTTTCTTGAAATCTTTGTGTTTTGTCCAGAAATTCAAGAATTTGAAAGGTTTAATCAGTGGTTCACTTTCTATGTTGCATTTAACCAGTAAAAGTGCATGATCTGACCCTTGTCTCAACAGATGTACTACTTCTGAAGCTGGGAGTAGCTCAAAAAACTTTTGATTGCCCATTACTCTGT